TTTCATTGATCTTTGTAAATTCGATTTTATAAAACACACATGCTAGAATTAAATATATAATAAAATAAATATTAATTATTCAAAAGAAACTTATATATACAATAGATCAAAACAATAACTTGCTTATATAGATAATTAATTTATTTTATTATATATATATATATATATATATATGAAAAATAAAATATTTTTCATTAAATAATGCGAATTCTTTCATTGATCTTTGTAAATTCGAATTGAACGTCAAGAATTGGACGTTTTATTTTACGCTCCTGTTAATCCTGAGAGGCTCTTACGTTCGTTTCCGATGATCAGTCGACAAAGAATGCTGCTCCTCGTAGCTCGAGGAAAACTCGGAAAGGAAAGGAAAGGAAAGGAAAGGAGAGTCTCGAAGGTGTTCGAGAAGGAGTGAAATTTGTTCGCGAGAGTGAAAGGCGTTAGGAAGCTTCGTGGACCGTAATGGCGTCGATTGCATAATACGAATCGCGTGTGCACGAGCGTGAAAACGACGGATTGCGCGTGTATTTTTTTTTCTTTATTCTTTCCTACATTATTTCTTATCTATTTTCTCTCTCTCTCTCTCTCTCTCGCTCTCGCTCTCGCTCTCGCTCTCTCTTCCTCTGCCTCTCTTAACTTTTCACTTTCTTTACTTTCTTGTATTCATTTATTTATCTTATTTATTTATGTATATATTTTTCTTATTGCTTTTTTATTCCTTGTTTTTCCTCTTCTATTTTATTTTATTTACAATTATATTTATTATATTATATTATTAGAATTATCATATTTATTAATTATATAATATAATAATTAATTTTTTTTTACGTATAATATTTATATATAACGTATAATAATAATATTAATTATATTAAATTATTAGAATTAATTAAATTATATTCTAATATAAATATAATATAAATTTAATATAAATATAATTTTATATATATATATAATATAATAATATAATTTCTATATTACAATATAGTTATTTAAATAATTAAATTATAAAATGTTAAAGAAATTAAATATAATAATTAAATAATTATTATATTATTAATTTACGTATAATATTTATAATATACGTATAAAAATAATATTAATTATATTATAAATAATTTGAATTAATTAAATTATACTCTAATATAAATATAATATAAATATAATATAAATTTAATATAAATATAATTCTATATATATATATATATATAATAATATAATTTCTATATTTTACAATATAGTTTAATTAAATAATTAAACTATAAAATATTAAAGAGTAATTTTAAATATAAAAGTTATATAATTATTATATTACTAATTATATAATATAAATAATGAAATTTTTTGATCAATTCAAAAATCCCGAAAAATCGTATTAAATTATGATTTAAGAAAGTAGATGATAAAAAGATAATAGTAAAAGTGTTAACTCGTGGTAAATCATCTTTCTTCAAAGACTCTGGACGAGATATTGGAATATGGCTCAAGGCCAATGAAAGAAGAAAAATATTACGAATGGAGTATATTTTCCGACTACTTATTATACTCTCAACCTATATATGTATAGGTTGTATGTGTAAAAGAACGCGGTTGACGTATAGCAAAGCAAATATTAGCTTTTATAAATTTATAATCCCATGGACCATAGGAAAGAATTAAAAATTGACGAATTTTTACTAACCTTGAACTGACAATGAGATGAAAAGTTATACTTCGTTTTACGTAACATTGTTTCATACACACATACAAAGATATATATATATATATATATATATATA